CCCACCCACCCCCTTGGCCTGCCACACCTCTTTGGTGTGAGCCTCACCCAAAGCAGCCCAGGAGCCAGGGATGCCCTGCCATGGCACTGTCTGTCTCTGAGGGGCCAGGCATGTGCAGAGCAAGTGTTGGGGTCCTGCCTCGCTGCAGGACAGCCCTGTCCCTGTGTCCAGTAACTCTGCCAGCAGCTTGCCTGGTCTTCAGCTGTCTTCTCCTGGTTCTCATCATCTGTTCTGTGGGTGTTTCAGGTGTGCATTAACTGCAGGAAGACAGGGGATCCCTTCTGTGTGCTCAAAGGGCAGCAGTGTTCCAGTGAGTGCAGGAGGGATTGTGAGCTGGTCAAGAAAATGTCAGTGCTGACCACATCCCCCACAAGTACAGAGCAGGAGCTGGAGGACCTGGCCCATTTCACTTCCAGGACATCTCCACTCAGCCACCTCTAGTGACCTGAAATGTGTTTTGCAGGAGTGCTCAGAGAAGCGGATGCGGGGAAACATGTTCCCCACTTCTCCCTTCGTCTACTACTACGACGACGAATGCGACATCAAGAGGAGAGCCAACAGGTTAAAAAGAAAGATGGCAGGTACGGTGTGTTTTGGGAGATCCCTCCCAACTTTCAGCTCAGTGTTTGTGCATTTTAGAAACATTGTGGGATTATTTTCATGTGTTGGGAAAAGCTGCATGGATTTGAACAGGTAGCCTGGTGGTAGTAAAAGATTTGTGATTTTACTCATCCGTGTCTATCGTGGAAATTGACTGTGTCAAAGTCACTCAATGAGCATTGTCAGATGTTTTAATTCTGAAAAATCTGCTGACATTAAAAATGCCATGAAATAGCAGGAAGGGGGTTAAATCACGATTTGTTGGGATTCTAGCCTGATGACAGAAAAAACCCACAGTGAAAAAATCTGCCTCAGATAAATTTTTGTCTAACTTCATTTGTATCTAAGGAGAGCTGTGATGGCTTAGGTGCCAGGTTTTAGGTTTTGTAGGTACTGAAGTAATCCGCTCTGCCTTCCAGACCTGCAGGAAGCTGGCCTTCTGCCAGAGCAGTCTGAAACACCGTTGCAGGAAGAACAGCTTGAGGTACCCAGCCACAAGAAAAAGAGAAAACTTTGGAAAGAACAACAGGGGAAGAAAAGCAAGAACAGTGAGCAGCTAAAGAAGATGAAGGTGTCCCAGGCAAAGAAATCCCAGCAGGAGAAGCACAGGAGGGGTGTCAAGATCCACTGTGAGCCAGAGGACTTCCCTCGGGGGTACAAGCAGAAGGGGTGCAAGGGCAGCAGGGTCTGCCACAAGTCCCTTTTGCAGGCATTCTCAGGCAGCAAGGCCATGTGTGTGCAGCAGCCTCTAGAAGGTGCCAAAAAGAAGAAGAAATGGAAAAAGCAGAAAAATGCTGGTCCTGACAGCAGGGACAATCTATTCCTTATAAAGCAGAGAAAGAAGAAGTCCAAACAGAAATCCTGGTGATGGCAGATACCACTGGCATTCTATGGCTCTGGCTCTGCCTTCTCTTTATTCCTGTCCCTCTCTTAGCACCTGAATTTGAGTCTGTCCCTGACCCAGCATGCTGGGCACCCACCATGTCCATCTCCACGGCCAGAGGGGATCACTCCACCTCTGACCTGTCCCCATGGCAAGCAGGACCCGGTGCTCCTGAGCAGGGGGGTCTCAGAAATGCTGTATGTTTAATTTCTTTGCTTGGGGGTGTGGGGGCACGCTGGGTTTGGCAGGGTTTGTTTCTTCACCAGTGAGATGTGGCTGTGCTGTTGGAGCACAGCACCTTTGGGGCCGCTGCCAGGGAGACTTGGGCCAGGGGATTCGGGGTGGGAAGCAGGAACACAGCTACAAAGCACATCCCCCCGGCCACCTGAGTGCCATGGGCACCTCCCTCCCCGTGAAGGGGCAGCTAAGTCTCTGCTTTACGCTCCAGGATGCAGCAGTCACCCACCTGGCTCTCCAGAGCAGTGCCATCCATCCACTGCCCTCAGGGCTCAGCTCCACCCCTGTCCTTGCCAGCAGGGCAGCAGAGCAGGAGAGAGCAGCTGGGCCTGGAGCAGAGTTTACATCTCACATCTCACACTAAATCTGACCTTGTTCCTTTTGATGTGGAGGCTGTTTCTGGAGAAAAAGAAATGGAGTATAAAGAACGTACTTGGTTCCAGTCACACTGTGCTAAAATTCAGTTTTTTTTTAAAGACAGTTATTTTTGTACACTGGAATTCAGCATGTTGTTTTAAGGTTTTTAAGAATAAAATGCTTTATCAAAGGACTAACACAAATAAAACTTTACATGAGAAATATTAAAGAAATTGTTCCTCAGTTCCTTGCATTTCAAACATAATTGAAAATAATATTGTGTTCTCTCTCCTAAGCTGAAGCTACATCACCACGGACAAGAGTAAAAAAGTAATGCATTTGCACTCTGCTGTTGAGAAAAGAAGTTATCCCTACCCTGCTGCTCTGTGATGTTCTCTCTGCTGTTCCACCCCTTAGTGAGCAGCTGATGGCAACAGCAGTGTCACTGAGGCACAAGTCTCTCCTCGTGCAGAGGTCCTGTGTTAAAAGTAAAGGCTATTTGTACCCTGCAAGGGTACCTGGAGAGGGATATGGGCACCCAAGGAAACACTCTCATTATGCCAGTGTTATCTGGCATAATATACTATGCTAGCAGTCCCTAAATTCATCAGGTTTTTGTTTAGCAAACTCAACAGTGGGAACACAGGTGTTCTGGTGACCCTGTCATCCTGTTTCAGAGGTATTTGTGGTAGAGACACACCTGCACAGTATTTGCAAACCTAATGTCTGGGTTTCATGACCTAGAATGACCTTCAGCATGACCTTGGCAACAAAAATTAAGTTTTGCTTAACTTCATTTATTGCTTGATTGAAAAATCCCTGATGATACTGAAAAAAGAAAATCAGTTTTAGCCCTATTGGAAAAATATTAAGTTAATTCCACCCCTGAAAAGACTTGTTTGTAACATGGAAACAGTTCTTTTCACAGATGCTGTGTTGTACATCCCTTTCTGGTTTTGAATTCCGTGTTTCATTTGAGCAAAAGTCACCACTGGCTTTTAGCCAAACCAGCACGAACCGGGCAGACAGGGAGGAGGGCTGTTTCCAGGGATTGTTTCGGTATCTGGCCAGCTAAGCTGGCTTGAGGTGTGTGCATTTCCTGCACCTCAGAGAGGTGCCTTTGCATCACCCATCTGCAGTGCCAGAGGGAGGAGCAAGCCCGAGTTCTTCCTAACTCCTTCCCTGAGGACCTGTCCCTGGCCAGCACAGCAGGAGTCAGAGCAGCCAGGAGCCCCAGCCTCTGTCTCTGATGCTCGGTGGCTTCAGAGAGGAATATTTTACCTTGGACACTGCTGCTCAAACCCTGCTGAGTGCTGGTGGGCAGAGCCTGCCTGGCCTGGGGAAGGCAGTGGCAGGGAATTGAGGCACAGTGACTTGCACAGGTGCTTGGGTGAGACCCAGACAAATCTGGCTGCTGGCTGTGGCTCCTGCCTGTCACTGGCAGCACAGACAAGGAGTTTGTGGTGGAGCTGCCTCTGGATGTCACTCCAAATCTGCAGGTGCCCAGCCCCGCACAGCCTTTGCTCTGGTAGATGTCTGCTGCTTGTGATTACAGGACAGTGAGTCTGTATGGACTCACAGATGGAGGAAGCATGTTTTCCAGGACCATGGGAAGGGGAAAAAGGGAAGCAGCAGCCCTGGAAGCAGGTGGGATTGGGGTGAGGAGCATCATCCAGGCCCCAGGCCCAGATCCGGCTGGCAGGAAAAGAAACAAGATCTTGCAATGGCACATCCAGTCTGGGGCATGGACCAGGAGTGCGTTTGGGTCCTGGCAGGGAACAACATCAATTCCAGGACTGGCCAGTGTCAGGCTTTGCAGAAATCTGCACTCACCAGGGCACTCAGGGGGGAACTGGCAGGTCTGGGTAGTGCCACCAGCAAGGAAAGAGGGACCTGGACAAGGCTGGCTTGTTGCTGGAAAGCACCTGGGTAAATCAGGTGTGACATAACTGCTGCTCTGGCTGGCACCACCTGGAACAAAGGTTTTGTCTAGCACCAGCTGTCACCAGTAACCAGTGCCCCCCAGCACACCCTGTAAGGCCTCCATGGGGCAGCTGATGGATCCTAGAGAGGTCAGCACAAGAATGAAGCAGCAGGAGATTGTTTACATTCAGTGAGGAGGAGAGAACAAGGAAAATGGCAAAAAGGGGTGGATTTCCCAGCATCACCAATATCAGCATGTCAGGTGCTGTGAAAGGGCAGTGTTAGAATCGTGCACCAAGCCTGGCAGCTGGCAGAGTGAGCGGCTTCCATCGAGCTCTGCTTTATTCCATTAAACCACAATGTACCTCAGCCTGTCACTCCTCCCGCCTGCTTTCCCCCTCCTTTAAAGAACTGTCAGTCCTTACTCCAGAGATGCCTGGGACTGAAAAACATGCTCATCCCAGGAGAGGACAGTGTCTCGAGGTCACAGTTGATGTGCACTGGTGAGGCAGCATGAGGAAACCTACATTGCGTGAATAAATAAAGGGCCACAGCTCAGAGCCAGCACTGCAGAGGAGACAAGATGGATGGATCAGAAGGTCAGAGTCTTGTTGGGTAATGGGGGCAGGTGTCCCAGGAGTGAAGAGGGGAGAAGGGAGTATTGGGTCCATCATTTGTTGCAGCCACTACACAGAGAGGTTGAGGAAAGAAGGAGTGCTGTGATTTGAGGTGTCTGTGTCCATGGCACACCTGTGGGAGGGAACTGGCTGTGTCTTTGTGACATATCACAGGTCTGGCTCCTCCTGGAAGTGTTCCTTCCCCTGAAGTCTGTCTCAAAGCATCAGTCTCTCTGTGCAGCTGTTGTGCAGTCTGCAGGGACCACCACACGTGTACCGGGCCATGTCACACCCAGCACCAGCAGCCCACGGTGACAACACCGGCCTGGGCGCTGGGGCTGGCCTCAGTGCTCAGACCTTGTTCCACCCCACGTGTCTCTGAGCAGCCCCTCAAGGGCACCGAGCAAACCTGAGTTCAGTTCACCCCAACAGGTGGACACTGGCACCGGAGCTCCCAGCAAGGATGGGCACTCTGCACCCTGAGATGGGACTGTGGGTGACAATGGCAGAGCAGGGTCAGTGACAACCAGCCGTGGCACCACATGGCACAGCAGCCAGTAATTGCACTTTTTTTGCATTGCAAAATGATTATTAGCACCTCAGTTCATTATCAGAGCAAATTTAATTTTTCAGTGTAAAGGAGCCAGTTGTATTTATAAAGGAAACACTGTTGATACAGCCGGAAAAAAAATTAATTCATGACAAATGTAAGGAAAACTAATAGTCTTTAACCAGGGCAATATTTGACTGTGTCTAATTGTGCTTTGCGAGGTTTGAAAAGTCCTGGCAGAAATTCTTGCAGAGGCATTTTGTACTTCTCCTGATGAAACTGCATTTAAACATTGGGGTTTTTTTTTTAATTAACCTTGTGCCACTCTGGTCAAATCATAGAAATACTGTTGTGGAAAGCTGGTATTCTCTGGTGTATTTGTGCATTGGCAGGGGCATTGTGTGCATTTGGGAAGGTCTTGTCTATCCAAATCCATTCAGGCAGAAAACAAGGAAGAGGGAGCAGAGGCAACAGCAAGGGCAGAGCGGCCACAGGGAGCAGGCAGACAGGAGGTGCTGGGGCTGAGCACGGAGCCTGCAGGCAGGGGAGCCCACAGCCAGGAGAGGAGGCTTTAGCAGGCACCAAGGGGGTTGGGATGGCAGAAGTTTCACAGAGACACACGTTCCTGTCTGTTCACCGGCAAGAGCACAGAGCTGCAGGTAACACTTGGAGTGATGCAAATCACTGATTGCATGTGGCCAGAGCAAGTCCAGCAGAAGAAGGACAAGCCCAGCTGAGGCTTCGGTGCCTGGGTGGGTCAGAGCTCCAGGGGGCTGTTCCTGCTGGGCTCTCCAGAGGTTTTCTCATCCCACTTGTGCCCCAGTGCCACACTATGGCACCAGCCACCTCCTTCATGTGGACAGACTGTCTCCTTCCGGCCGACAGCAGCAGGAGACCTGCATCCTCCATGTGATGAAATCCTAGATACAGACGGGCCCAGGCGGGGTACAGACCAGTGAGCACCGTCACTCTGAGCTGAGGTCTCTGGAGCAGCTGGTTCCAGCACCTACACTCCCACTGCTGTCTCGGTGGCTGCTGTGGGAAGGCAAACCAGGCGGTCCCAGTTTATGAAAGCATTGGGCAGGATGGCCCCCGCTGTTTTCCTGGAGAGGTGCGGGTGTTGCAAAGGGGACATCTGCCCCTCTAGTGTCCTCCCCGTCAGCCCTGCGGCCGGTCCCAGCCTCTCGCCCTCCCACCGCAGCCGGCTCTCCTCAGGACAGCTTGGAAATGCGCCATCTCCTCAACTCAGCTGCCAACTTGAAGCCAATTTGCATTGGATAATTATTTTCAATTAAGTGATAACAATCGTGTTCTGAACAGAAATAATCTTGTCCAAAGGCCAAACAGTTTATCCCGTCTCGGAGATGAGGCTGCCGCTCGCTCTCCCGGCGTTATCGCGGCGCGGGGCGGGCGCCGGGCG